AGCTATAGATCATTGCCATCAGTCCCAAAAGTTGCCCTGTGCCCCCTGCAGTCAATCCCCTTCCCCACCCGTGGCCCTAGGCAACCACTGACCTGCTTGCTGTCACCATAAATTAGTTTGGCCTGCTCAGGGATTTCATCCAAATGGAGTCCTATAGTATGCATTCTTGAGTAGGCTTCTTTTGCTCAACATACTGATTTTGAGATTAATAATCCATGTTGTTGCATCATTTTCTGCATTTTTCACTGCCCAATCATCCTCAATCCACTGCAGTCTGGTTTCTGCCCCTCCATTCTACCAGAACTGCTTTGCAAGGTTACAAATGAGGTCACTAAACTCAGTGGATCATTCCTTACCTTGCTTGATCTCCAGGGAGCATTTTTTGTTTTGTTTTGTTTTTTAGTAAACCCTACCCTCAATGTGGGTCTTGAACTCATGATCCCGACGAGCTCAAGCGTCCAATGCTCTACATACTGAGCCAGTCAGGTGCCCTCTAGGAAGCATTTGACACTACTGACCATTCTTTTCTCTTGGCTTTGATGACATCACATTCTTGTTTTCTTCTCTTGCTCTAGCCATTTGTCTTCGTTTACTCTCCTGCATGTCCCTAATATGTTGACATTCTTCAGGTTCAAATCTAGGTCGTTACCTCACACTTGATAGTCTTTCCCTGGGTGAGATCATCTCTACTTCCCAGGCTTCAATTATCATCAAGCGGCTAACTCCAGTCCAAGCCCTCCTGTAGCCCTCTATGTCCAGCTGCTTCAAAGACAACACCGCTTAGATGATTCAAAGGCATCTCAAATTCAAAGCATCCAAAATGGAACCTCATCATCTTCCCCTGTAAATCTCCTCTGTTACTGACACTTGTACACAGTAGCTCAAACTAGAAAACAGTCATTCTTGACTGCTTCCTCCTTCATACCCTGTTAAATAATCACTGAATTAATTAGATTCTACCTCCTAAGAATCCCCTGAATCTCTTTAATACTCTAGTCCAGACCTCTTATCTCTTGTATCTCTTCCCTGAACCACTTGCTTGTCCCTTGTAAATGTAGCACATAAAGGCACATATTTGGCTTCAGGGTACTTGCTAATTGTGTAGTTAATAGCTTTGTATTGAAACTGAGCTACACTTTGGTAGGTTTGTAGGGTTAGGGATGCAAAACGCAAAGTCTAGGGCCCACCAAGGTAGGCACTCTAAGAAATCCACATCCACTTGAATCTAGAACCCTGAAGTTCACCCTCAAGGAAGAGCTGTAAGTAAAAAGTCCTTGCCAAGTTTTCAGCTCAGACTTTTGTCATTTTGGTGGTCAAGAGGAATTGAGGCCTTGAACCTGTATTACGGTGGTCCTTGACTAGTAAGGTCTTCAGTTACCTATCAGAGAAAAATAAAGATCTCTGAAGGAAGATAGCATTATATCCTACTTAGACTTATATTATGCTTGTATGTCTCTTTTCAAATACATGGTTCAACATATAAAGATAACCAAACACACAAGAAAACAAGACTCCCTAAGTGAAAACCAGCAGAAACAACAACAACAGAAACAAACTACAAAAAACTTCAGATAATTGGATTTAGCAAACTCGGATTACAAAACAATTATGTTCACTAGGGTCAAAGAATAGACAGCCTTGGAAATTTTATCAGGGAACCAAAAACTATTAAAAAAATGACACAGTAGACATGAAAAAGAACGCAATAAAAATTCTACAACTGAAAAAATAAGTAATTCAATTGATGGATTTAACAGCAGACTAAATACAGCTGAAAGGAGACAAATGAACTATAAAGTTTGTCAAAAAAATATCAAGAAGGCAGCTTGGCAAGACAACGTAAAAAATGCAGAGAGTAAAGAGATATACAGGATATAGTGAAAACTGTCTAAATAAACATTTATTTGGAGTTTCAGAAGTGGATGAATGAGAAACAAAATTTAAGAATAGCTAAACATGGGGCGTCTGGGTGGCTCAGTCAGTTGACTGGCAGACACTTGATTTCAGCTCAGATCATGATCTTGGGGTCCTGGGATCAAGCCCCACATCAGGCTCTTCACTCAGTGGGGAATCTGCTTGGGATTCTCCTCCTCTCCCTCTGCTCCCCTCCCCACCATGTGCATACATGCTCTCTCTCTCTCAAAATAAATAAATAAATCTTTAAAAGCTGAATGAATCCTAAAAGCAGAAAAAAATAAATCCACACCCAGATACATCATAGTAAAATTGCAGGAAACCCATAGCAAAAAGAACAAAATTTTAAAGCAGCCAACTATCTGCAAAGGAGTGACAGACTTGGCAGGAGCAATGGAAGGTAAAAGGCAGCAGAAAGATGGAACGAATATGCTGAAAGAAAGTAACTTCAAACCTAGAATTCTATGCCCAATAAAAATACCCACCTAGAATAAAGAAAGGCAAAAGAAAGACTGTCTCAGATCAACAGGAATGGGACAGTTGCCCACTAACAGGCCAACACAAAAGCAAACTCTGAAGCAGATTAGGCAAACTTCTGTAAAAAGCCAGATAGTAAATATTTCAGTCTTGCTGGCCATACAGTATTTGTCACAACCACTCAACAATGCTGTGCTAGTGCAAAAGCAACCAGAGACAATAGTAAATGAATGAGCCTGGCGGTATTCCAACAAAACTATTCAGAAAAATGGGCAGTGGGCTGGATTTGGCCTGTGGACTGTAGATTGCTGACTCCTGTCCTAAAGTTTAAACTTCAGACAAAAGGGAAATGATCCCAGATGGAAAGGCAGAGATTCCAGAAGGAATGAAGAAAAAAAAAAAAAGTGGCAAATAAATGAACAGTATATGAAGTTTGATTTTAAAAAAACATAGAACTAAAACATGATAAAAACGGTATATAACTTCAGGAGAGGTTAAATGGAGTTAGTTTTCTAGGTTCTTTGTATTATCTGGGGGAAGTGAAAAGGTATTAAGAATGCCTGTTATAAATTTTAGGGTAACTACTATAAGAATAAAAATAAAACTTCCAAACTACTAGAAGGGGAAAACATGGAATGATTAGAAAGCAGGCAGGAAAGGAGAGAAAATTGAATAGATGAGACAAATAGACAAAATAAGAACTTTAAGCCCAAACATATGAGTAATTACATGAATATAAATGAATAAATGCTTCAATTAAAGGACAGTAAATATCAGATTATTAAATAAAAACAGCTACATGCTGTTTTTAAGAGACCCATTTAAAATGTAAGCAACCAGAAAAGTAGGAAGGAAAAAACTAAATTCTCTTCATTAACACATTAATTACTCAACATGTTAGTCTACTTCCCTCCTAAGGATATTGTTCTTCAGAAGATCATACTGTATATATGTATATATAATATGCCTCCCTCTAGGACAGAATAATTTGTACACTTTTCTCTTATTGTAAATTGTTTTCAAGATTTTATTTATTTGAGAGAGAGAAAGAGACAATGCAAGTAGAGGAGAGGGGCAGAGGGAGAGGGAGAGGGTGAAGCAGCCCCCACTGAACAGGGAGCCTCACATAGGGCTCGATCCCAGGACCCTGGGATCATGAACTGAGCCCAAGGTAGACGCTTAACTGACTGAACCACCCATGTAAATTGTTTTCAATGATATTCATAGTATTGAAGTTGTTGGAATTTTGAGTTCTTTGAATAATTGGAGGGAACCTATTTTGTCAGCTACAAAAGACAATGTAATTTAAAAAATTTTATTGGCTCAATATGCATTTTAGTTTTTGTTTTTTTTTTCCAGTAATCTCTACACCTAATGTGGGGCTTGAATTCACAACCCCTAGATCAAGAATCACATACTCTACTGACTGAGCTTGCCAGGTGCCCCTTGGCCCAATGTGCATTTAAAGGGATCTCAGGACTATTACTATTATGTTTTTTACTAATCTTGCTAATAGATTTTAAGTTCCAGGGTGATGCACATAAATTTTTAATGAAAACCTTTTACCATTACTTCTCTTCCAAGTATGTAGGAAGTACCTATATCTCATTTTAAGGAATTAATATTTTACAAAAAAAGTCAAAATATCAAGCTCGGCATTTTGTTAGCTTATTTAGTCCTCACAACTATGCTATAAGGTATGTGTGTTTAGACCCATAAACATGAGATTAAGACATAAATTACTGAAGGTCCCAGTTAGCAATCAGTCGACTAAGATTTTGAACCCAAGGTGATGGCAAGCTATGAACACACAGGCTTTCTTTCCCACTGTCAATGCTGCTGATACACTGAAAAAGCCTTATTCTTCAAACTCATCTTTTAAACAGGAAAAAAGAAACTTTCTACAAGATCACCTTTCCTTTCTGAGAATATTACTTAATTTTTATAGTTCCAAATTTAGACTAACAGCTTCCCGTTAAAAATAATGATAATCAATCCGAATCGGTTAGGTCATCGTTTCTTAGTGTATTAATTTCGGGTGGTATTTCCTGAACTTGATTTATCCTAATTCGTGGGGGGGGGGGGGGGTTAGCCTCTATGCATAAAGGGAAATGACCCAGATGTCAGATCTCCAGGGCTCCTTTTGTAGAAGGTCAAGGCAGCAGTGGGGAAAGGTTGAGCGTACAATATTCTGGGTGGGCCCCTGAAAACGAGTTAATCGGCCAATGAATAATCCAATACGCCTGTATTAGCCACTAAGACTGCTAATCTCAGTCGAACCGAGGGGTAAGGTCTCCACTTACTTTCAACTCGGGGTAACCCTCTGGCACATTTGCTAATTTGGGTCTGGTTCGCCAGCACAGCGTGCCGCCCAACCCTAGCCCACTCGCAGCTGGTAGCATGAGGTTTGGCGCCTCGGGCAGATCCGGCTCGAGGGTCGTTTAATAACCCGAGTCTCGCGAGATCTGGGGGAAAGGAGGCGGGAGAAGCTCGCGTGCACGCGCCCGAGAGCCGTTAGGGTGGAACCTCTCCCGGGCGGGGCGGGTGGAGCAAATACAGTTGGACGCCAGTTGGTGGAGCCCCCGCGGGAAACAACTAAGCGCGAGGAGCGTGCGCGCTCACGTCGCGGCGACGGTGGCGGCGAGCGGCGTCACAGCTAGAAGGGGGGGCTGACGGCTTCTGGCGGGTGGCGGTGTTGGAGGCGAGAGCTTGCTTAGCCCGTAACGCTTCTGTCCCAAGACCCGACGGAGAGCGAGGGAACGAGGGTTGCTTTCGGGGGCTGCTGCCTTCTACTTACGCATCGTCGTGAGGAGCGCAGCCCGGACTCTCCTACAAGCCCTCCGGCTCCCTTTCCACACGCCTTGAGGCGGCGGCGGCGGCGGCGGCAACTGAGACAGCGTCTCACCTTCCCCCACCCCTTCCCCGTCCCCCCCGCCCGAAAGGGCCCGGTCTGCGCCCCACCCCCGCCCGCTCGCTACGCCGCCGCCATGTCGGCGCAGGCCCAGATGCGCGCAATGCTGGACCAGTTGATGGGCACCTCCCGGGACGGTAAGTGTCTGCCAGTGCCCTGGGGGTGGGGGAGGGGAAGGGGAAAGCGAGGGGAAGGGGCTTCGCGGGCGTACCTGGGCTTGCGTGTGTGGCTGAGTAAGGGGCTCCCAGATTGGTAACACGAGGTCCCGGCTCCCGTCCCATCCAATCAGGGCTGGGCAGGCGGGCTTGGGGGGCGGTGACCGAGCGGATTGGCGGGAACTGCTGCCAATGGGGTCAGGCGGGGCCTGGAGGTAGAAAGGAGAGTTTGAGATTCAATGTTGACTTGTCTGGGACGGGAGAGCCCACGTCTCTCTTGGCGTAGTCGGTCATCCCGTTTTGTGGCTGATGAGGTACCGGTGGACCGCTAAAGCCTCCGTCCCCTGAACTAATTCCTTAACCCAGAGCTTTGGGATCACCCCTCGCCGCCGCCCTCCAGAGCATCCAGAGAGAACTGCCCCACCCCCGCCCCCCGCCCCTTACCTGGGTCTGGAGAAAACCTTCACTATGAACTCAGTCCCAGAAGTGCACACTCGATCCCACAGAAACAATCCTTCTTATGGAAAAATCTGACCCAAACCATGGTTTCTTGAAGTGGGTGTGTTTGGCCCCATTTTGTGAAAAGAAAAATGTTATGGCCTGTTTTTTCCGAGAGACCTCCATTTTGTTAGAGAATTTAATAGAAGCTTTGTTCAGTAAATATTGACAAGTCTTGCATGTGCCCCAAATAGAACCATTTTGAAAATGTGGTGCCCAGTGAAGTAGAATTGAGAGAAACAACGATCCTTTTAGGCGCTGAGGATAGAGTTTGTGTAGAAAATTACTAATTGCGGATCTTTTTTGTCGTAAAGAGAATTCCTAAATGCAAAGATGAAATGCTGTTGCTTTTTTGGTGATGATGATAATGTATTATCAAATTGAGCTCAAATCCATGCTAATATGGAGGAAAGGTCTAGTTCAGTACTTTCTCTCTTAAAAGCAAAAACACTTGCTTATTTTTATATGTTGCTTGTTTAGGCAGATCGTTTCTTAGCCATTAAAGAAATGCTTTTTTCTTGAAAAGTTACTTAAATTGCTTGACGTAAGAGAAAAGGCACACTTATATTTTTAACAGTTGCTCTTGTAATTTTCTTGAATACTTTGCAGCAAAATATGTGAGTAGGTTAAAAAATGTATATTGAATTCAGATATTTTTCTCAGTGCATACAGAGAATGGCTTTTCAGGGCTCACAGTTTAGTTTTAATAAAAACCCGTATTGGGAACTTGTCTTCCTAGGACACATAGACAAATAGGTGGAGGTGGCAAACCTACTTGTGCTTGTGTAGAGAGGAGGGGAAGATTGGGAAGGAAATGAATTTTGTGTAGTAAACCCTTGCAAGTTAACATTAATTAAAAATGCCCCTGCAAAAACTTCTACCTGTTCATTTTTCACTGTTAGATAAGAATGGTTATTTTATAACTGCAGCATGTCTTAACATTGCTCCTTTTCCATAATGAAGACGGTATTGGGAAGGGACCTAATTCAGGATTTTAGCTGACAGAATAACTAATTTTTGTAGTAAAAGTATGGAAATCATTTAAGATTTTACATGAACTTTTTAATCCTAGATGGATACCATTTTTGGTACCTTCTACATGGATTGAATTTTCTAATTTTACTGGGAGGGTAGTTGGATCAAAGTAACTGCTATCTCCTGATATCACCTGATAAATTTCCAAACGAGGTAGCCAATCTAGTATTGTAAAGCTACATTAAATATATATATATATATATATAAATATATTTTCCTGTGTGTGTAGTCAGCAGAAACATGGATTTCTTAAAATCCATTCTGCTTTGTATACAAATAAATTTACATTTTTTATGTGTATGTTACCAGATTTTTTTTGCCTCCAGACTAAGAGGATTTACCAATGAACTCATGTTAACGAGTCCACGATATTATTTAGCTGAAATGACTGGATTTTCACTGCTGTGTTGGGCCAGAAGTAAGAAACATACTACTTTCAAGGAAAAGAAAAGATACCCATATTAGTTCTTTTATGTATGCAAGATAAGAATCAGAACATTATTTTCCTTACCAGATAATGAGTTTACATATTTCATCTTATGATTCAGGACCTTTAAATAATTAGGATTGTTCTTTTTTAGCATACAGTCAACTTCAAGTTATCCAGGGGTAGGGGAATATGGATACGTTCCTGAATAACACCATATACTTTAAAACCATATAATGGAAAGCTTTGTATTGGACAAAGGAACAGCTTACAGGGAATGCTGTTGGGTGTCTTTGGCACTAAGAGGTGGAAATGGGGATCCAAGAGGTGGGAGAGAGATGGAAAAGGTAGGTAGGGGAGGGTGTGTTTAAGGCAGCTCCCCCCCCCCCTTTTTTTTTTAATCATCCGAGACTGACTATAAAACAGCTATTGTCCTCTGGGATAGTGGGATTCAAGGTTGCCATAACCCCTCCTCAACCCTTAGTGTCCTGTCTCTGAGGGAATCTGAAGTGGCACAAGAAGCCTAGGGCACTGGGAAAACTTTGTTTCCCTTTCACCTCCCCCTCTCCTCCACCAGTAAAAATATTTATTCCTTCTTCCTCTGTCCCAACTCAGTTTTTAATTAGTTCCTTTTTAAACTCCTTGGAGATGTAAGTCTATTAAAAGTACCTTATTTTGAGTTACTTAATTCAGTCTAATCATATAGATTACCTAAGCTTTATTGAAATTCTCAGAAATGGGAATTTTAGTGTCAAGGAAGTGGAGAGATAATTTTGGGATCACTGGGCACTCCCAGAAAGGACAGTCTTGGGTGAGTGGTGGAAGTGGGGGGCTTTGGACAACCAGAGGGCAGCATGATGGTGCTGGGAGGCTGGGCAGGGGGATGACCAGGAGGTGGGAGAGGAATGCATCAGGGTGGTGGGAGGGCCAAAGACAAACTTTGCCTTCTTTGCAATTTTGCCTAGGGCCCTGGTGGTGGCAACCGCCTGTGTGCCACTGAAAATCGTGCCGATGCCTGGCATACTGCATAAATGGAAGCAGGGTACCGCGTGAGTTGAAACATTGGTCACACTATATAAAGTTTGTATATGTGAATCAGTGTAACTCATACCCATGTAACTGGGGGTCTGACTGTATTTGGATTTTTCTGATAAGGCATCATGGGCTAAGGAAAAGAGCTCTGGGCTGAGACTCAGGAGACCTGGTTTCTAGCCCCAGCTGTACCTCTAATTGTAACCTTGGGTAAGTCACTTAACCTTTTTTGCCTCAAGTTAAATCAATAATCTGTTAAGTGGGAAACCAAATAATTTCCTATGTTACACTCAAAAACTGTTGAAAAATAAGTATATTTTAAGTTTTTTTTTAGGAGAGAGAAACCATAAGTAGATAGAAATTAGTATGTTATTTTATCTGAAGTTTGAGGTAAATTAAACTTTATAAATACCTTTCTCTTGTAGTTGTTAGCATTAATAGAAGGAAGAGGGATAAATTTTTCCCCGAACATAGTCCATTTGAAAGGGAGGAGCAGTAAAGTAAAATTGAGGCAGCAATTTGAGAATTGTCTATGTGACAGTTGGAGGAACTCAGTGTCCTTGCACAGACTGTAGTTATTTTTTCTGAGTTGGGTTAATTGCAAAGATGTCCCTTAGCTAAAGCTCTTTTGCCAGCAAATAGAATTTGGTTATAAGCCTCTGGTCCTGACCCCTAAAAGGCCTGGCAGGGTGCAAGGGATAGGAATTAAAATGGAGGGTATGAATTTAGATTATATCCTAAGTTTAGAAACCAAGGAATTTACAGAAGTAGTTTTAAGGACTCCATATTTTTTAATTACTTATAACCTTTAAATGGCAGACATCATCTCTGAAAGGTTAAAACAGGCCAGGAATGGCAGTCACCTCCTACACACCCCCTCCCCCCACTTCGTGCCCCAAATGACCAGTGGACTAATAGAATGTAGACTATAAAATAGATTTTTATGGCATCATTAGTTGCCCATTATGATTAGGGAATGTCTAGGGCAAGTTAAAGCTTTCAGATAATTGTGCCTCTTTTTGAGGGTAATCTTTCTGAACATATAATGATGTACTTTCTTAGATAATAGAGTACATTTAGTCCTAATTTACTATTTTTGGTGATCAGTTACATTGTGGGGTAGTTTTATAGAATGTAAAATTAAAAAGGGTACTACTCATGCTAGGAGGTAACCAGGAAAATAGAGTTCAGAAAATCATTTACTTGTTCCTGATATAAGGTTAGTAATACATAACTGTTGAACCTGTAGGATAGTGTGACATTGCTGCCTTTCTGCAAAATAAACCATTGAATCAAAGATAGAAGTAGTTTTTTCTTCAGTGGATTTTCTTCATAAAGTCATCTTTAATCTGTGTTCCTTGACTTGTCATCAACATTGAGAGCATTTTTTTAAAAATTTTTCTCATTAGCATAATGAGCCATATTTATTTCTTGGTCAGTTGTAAGCCATTCTATTCCACTTGGATTGTTCATTTTAAGTGAAGGAGGCATAGCCTTTAATGTACAAGCACACATTTTTAAAAATGGTAACGGGTATATCTTACCCCAGAGCTTGTAAATTCTTTTAACATAAGAAATTTTGGTGAAAATAAGGTTAAACGGTAGTTAAACATCAGGCTAAATAAGAGTTGTAGTGAATATTTGACTTCATCAGAGGTTCAGGCATATCAAAACACTGAAAGCTCTGTTAACTTCCATATGGTGAATCTGTTTTAAACAAACTTTAACTCATTTTGCATTTTGAACTCTGAATATTTCAGTCTGCAAAACAGCCCAGAAAACAGTAATAGTATCATTTCATATAATCTTGTTTTGTCCTTGGATTCTCTGCATTTGTTTAGCTTTCCTCAGGGAAGCCTATGCTTGTGAGATATTCTTTTACTTTGGGTAAAGAAATAAATTGAAACCAAAGAAAAATCATTTTGTCTATCACTGCAGAGGCTCTGTAAGCAGCAAATAAGTGCTTTGATTTGGATAAGATGTCACATAA